CAATTAGAAAGAGAGTCAAAAAGGTTTATGTTGGGATGCATTTGCTAATATTAGCATAGTCAAACGCGTTTCTCAAAATATGTTTCATTTATATATAAACTCATTGAGTATTTGTTTGTTGCAGAAGGAAACTGAAACCGAGAGAAGAAGTAGTGGAAATGGTGAAAACCTGCGAGAAAAGAGAAGAAAATATTACGTTGGCCATTGACAGAGACAAAGAGAGCCAAAACGCTTTGAAATGGGCGGTTAGCAATCTTCTTAGCCGAGGCCAGACTCTTACTCTTCTTCATGTCAAACTCAAACAACCCACTTCTCTTCCCTATTCCGGTATGACAAAGCTTTTGTTTTAACAACTTCTTTGTTTGATGCTTAATATCATTTGATATTCATATTAACATAAGGTTGATTCAATGCAGGATCTAACATTAGTAAGCCAGGCGATGATCCGTCAGAATTGTTTCTTCCCTTCCGTTGCTACTGTGCTAGAAAAGATGTGCGTTTTCGCTTCACTTTCCATCTTGTCAAGCATTTCATTTCATTTGACTGACTTTCTCTTGTTACTGTGACAGATCAACTGCCAAGATGTGGTTGTGGAGGATGTTAGTGCGGCTAAAGGAATAGTTGACTATGTGCAACAGAATGCAATCGAGACTCTAATACTCGGTTCATCGAAGATGACTCTTTTAAGGTAATTAGGCAAATGTTTTTCTCCTTTACTTAAGACTAAATCTGAGCATCCTTATATATATGCTTTATTTGGTAGAAGGTTCAAAGCAGCGGATGTTTCAAGCACCGTCATGAAAAAGGCACCGAGTTTCTGTACAGTATATGTTATCTCTAAAGGGAAAATCTCGTCTCTGAGATCAGCTACAAGTTCACCTCCCCATTCCATTATGCCGCCTACGCGACAGCTTGTTCACGCTCAGACGAGTAATCTGAATGGTATATATGACCAAGATTTTTCAAGGACATCACATAAAGACTAAACTAGTTTTTTCCTTAACTGATCAAATGTCTTTCATGTTGCAGTTGAAAGGAGGCAACAAACAATGCAAAGAACACATGACGAGATCAAGATCGAGATCAAGTATGTTTCTTACCTATATAAATTGTTTCATTCTTGTCCATAAGTTAAATTTTACTTATAGTAACCACACATGTTGAATAGGTCTCCCTTTTCGAGAAGAGGATACGAAGGCGTTTACCAGCCCTCGATAACAGACTCTGATATATCATTTGTGAGTAGTGGAAGACCGAGCGTGGATCAGATGTTTCCTTCCTTGTATGACAATGTGGATGTTCCACGGCTCTCAGTCGGCTCTGAGTTTGGAGAAAATCGATTCAGTTTTGCTACATCATACTCAAAGCAGTCCATAGATCTCGGCTCACCATATGCACCAAACTCTTCAACCTCATTTGAAAGTGGGAGACAATCATTCTCACTACAGAGCCAGGTGTTTTCACTACTCGTATACCACATTACATGCCCATGAGAAATGTTTTTTTTTTTCATTTGCTTAACTCTAAAATCTGACAGGATGAGATTGAAACCGAGATGAGAAGGCTGAAAATGGAGCTAAAGCATACAATGGAGATGTATAACAGTGCCTGCAAGGAAGCAATATCTGCAAAGAAAGCGGTATGTTTGAGTTTTCAACAATCAAAAGCTAATCTGTGAGATTCTCACCAAACTTATAATCGATTCATCTCTTCTCAGGCTAATGAGTTACACAAGTGGAAAGCAGATAAGGAACATAAATTAGAAGAGGTGAGACTTGCCAAGGAGGCAGCAATGGCAATGGCAGAGAGAGAGAAAGAAAAAAGCAGAGCAGCCATGGAAGCGGCAGTGGCAGCACAAAGACTATCAGCACTTGAAGCTCAAAAGAGAAAGCAAATTGAAACCATAGAGGAAAACAAGAGGGTGATGTCTTCTGTAGTGAAAACTAATTTAAGGTACAGAAAATACAGTATTGAGGAGATTGAAGAAGCCACAGAAGATTTCTCGCCTAGTCGCAAGGTCGGAGAAGGAGGCTATGGACCTGTTTACAAGGGAACTCTAGATTATACTAAAGTGGCGATAAAAGTTCTAAGACCAGATGCGGCACAAGGAAGGTCTCAGTTCCAGCAAGAGGTTGAAGTACTAACTTGTATGAGACACCCAAACATGGTTCTCCTGCTTGGTGCCTGTCCAGAATACGGATGTTTAGTCTACGAATACATGGCCAATGGTAGCTTAGAAGACTGTCTCTTCAGACGAGGAAACTCTCCACTCCTTTCTTGGCAGCTAAGATTTTGTATAGCAGCTGAAATCGCAACCGGTCTTCATTTCCTCCACCAGATGAAACCGGAGCCTTTGGTGCACCGTGACCTTAAACCGGGAAACATATTACTTGACCAGCATTTTGTCAGTAAGATTTCTGATGTGGGCTTGGCCAGGCTCGTCCCTCCATCTGTTGCTGACACTGCAACCCAATATAGAATGACGTCAACCGCTGGAACATTCTGTTACATAGATCCAGAATATCAGCAGACCGGTATGTTGGGAACTAAATCAGACATTTACTCGTTCGGCATTATGCTTTTGCAAATACTTACAGCTAAGCCACCAATGGGTTTGACTCACCACGTCGAAAGAGCAATCGAAAAGGGAACTTTCGCAGAGATGTTAGACCCTGCTGTTCCTGACTGGCCAGTTGAAGAGGCCTTGGTTGCAGCAAAGCTTGCTCTAAAATGTTCAGAATTAAGACGCAAAGACAGACCTGACTTAGGGAATGTTGTTTTGCCTGAGCTTAACAAACTCAGGGATGTAGCCGAAGAAAGCATTAAATTTGGCGGAAGCCAGCCTTCACCAATCAGGAGCTCAGGGTCCGTGACTTCACTACAGGTATGAATCCATTAAGTACATTCTTCAGATTTTAAACATGTTTCGGTTAGTTAAACTATATTTTCTCTTTTGCAGGAGACTCTGAGTGATCCTCAGCTACTATATGGATCTGATAACTCAAGTATTAACAACAGTTCTACATCTTGAAGAAGAAAATCAAAGATCAGAAACAATGAAAGAGTGAACAATATACATTAAGAAGAGCCGGGCAAACTAATTTTGGTCAAGATCAATCAAGAATTGTTGTTGCCCTAGCGGTTATATACCGAATATTTTAAACAGTTTTAAATCTGTTTATATAGTATAGGGTTTTAGAGTTCATATACTGCTAACACTAAACCCTTGTAGTTAACAAAAAAAAAAAAAAAAAAAAAAAAACCACTAAACTCTTGTATACCACAGAGTCTATACCATTTTTTCTATACGTAAAATCGAAAACTCCTTGTCCTTGAGGAAGTAGAACAAATAAGGTAGAAATGAGCACTAGAACGGCTCATGGTATAGTGGCAAAGTCCACATAATGCTCACACTTCAAGAGTGAGATAAAAATGAAAATTTTATTATTCCTTCTGTTTTAATTTATAATACTTCCTCTTTTTCAAAGTATTCGATGTTTTCGGAAATTTTTTTGTTTCAAATTTAGTGATGCTTTCACCTTTCTATACAAAGTTCATTAGATATTTTAATGTTTTTTACCATTTATATTTTGAAGTTTGTTTTATGATCGGTTGAATTGTGTTAGGTACATAAAAAATGATGTTGTCTAGAAAAAAAAGAAAAAATAAATGGTTTCTTAATCTGTATGTAACAATCTTAACATCAAATACAGTTTGAAACGTAAAACAAAAAAAAATGTTTAAAATAAAATATCATTATAGATTTTAGGAAAAATGGGTAGAAAAACCCCCACCTTTCTTAAAAACAGATAAAAAAACCCTCAACTTTTTTTGTGGGTTTTTAAACCCTCGCATTTTCATAAATGGTAGAATAAACCCTAGTATTAATAAACTTAATTTAAATTCAAACAAATCATTATATTAAAACATAAATAAATATAAACAATTTGATTTAGGTTTTTCTTCTAAGATTCTAGTTTAAATTTTTTTTCGAAATTGAAATTTTTTAAGTCATGATGTAAAAAAGAGTGAAGTTTTACTCGGTTATGTTACAAAAATTCATCAACGTGAAACCAAACAGATTTTGTTACGAATTATATGTAAATTCTTATATCGAACTGAATATGAGTATATATTAATAAAGGTTTATTCGGTTCGATCACACAAATTTACTAACGTGAAACCAAATCAAATTTTATAATACTACGACAAGTACATGAATTTCCTTCATCAAAATATTTTCATTTGACCAACTAAATAAGATTTACTTACAGTTAATATTTAATGAATATAACAGAAATTTGAATGTGTTTTCCTAACTCTTATTGAACATATATAACAACATTATTAAACATATATAACAACACTTATCGTGAAAGTCCCTCCCCTCCGGTTTCGTCTCCTCTTCCTGCTGTTATCAACATTATGTGGGAAGTCTGTCAGTTGGGCTTTGGCCCAATTGGTTTACCTGGTAGTCAGAAATGCAGGCGGTCTGACTACCCCTGGCACTTAGTCGGAAGGCACACCAAACTCGGGATAGGCAGAGTGGTAGCCCGAAGGGCCTAGCCGTTAACACGGTGGACAAGTCCACTATGTAGCACCTCGGTGCGTTCCTACCGGGGCCGACCGGATAGCCGATAGGGTTTATCAAAAAAAAAAAGGTATACATTTTTTTCCCTTACAAAAGAAAATTATTTAAAATATAAGCCGGCAACATCAAACTCATAAAAGCTCCGGTGAGCAATTAAAATCTATAGTCATCGTAAGAAAGAAAACTGGCCTACTTCATAAATGCAAGCCGCAATTGATTACTAAATCTTCCCTTATGTAGTTTTCAAAGCATTCAAACGTTGCGTTCCTAAAATAAACAAACAAATAACAATTATAAGGTGATAATGGTCACCACCACACCAATAATACGTTTCTGGTCAAACTTAACAACACAACACAAAAAACAAAAGATTCACAACTAAAAAACAGACAAGAACTCATTCAGATTCTTCTCTGATGATCCACTTCTTGTAATAATAACAAAAACAGAGTGGTTTCTCTATGAGATCAACATTTCTGTTGTTGTTGTTCCTTAGTCTCCTCAATCTTCTCTTTGTCTCTGTTTCATGTGCTTCTTCCATCGAGTTTGTTTACCCTAATTTCACAGCTTCTAACCTCAGATTCGTGGATAGCTCTAAAGGAGCTTTCCTCTTCTCTCGTAATTCCAACTTCAAAGCCGGTTTATTCAGTCCCGGCGGCGATGATTCCTCTACCGGTTTCTACTTCTCTGTCGTCCATGTCGATTCCGGTTCAACAATCTGGTCATCAAATCGAGATTCCCCTGTTTCAAGCTCTGGTAAAATGAATCTTACCCCTCAAGGAATCTCTGTTATTGAAGATGGTAAAAGTCAATTACTCGTTTGGTCAACGCCGGTTTTAGCCTCTCCGGTTAAATCCCTTCGGTTAACCGACGCAGGAAATCTCCTTCTTCTTGATCACTTGAACGTTTCTCTATGGGAAAGCTTTGACTTTCCCACTGACTCGATCGTTCTTGGACAAAGACTCAAACTTGGGATGTTCTTGTCCGGATCCGTCTCGCGGTCTGATTTCTCTACCGGAGATTATAAGTTCTTGGTCGGTGAATCAGACTGTTTGATGCAGTGGAAAGGACAGAATTATTGGAAGCTAAGGATGCATACACGAGCTAATGTTGATTCTAATTTCCCTGTTGAATATCTAACGGTCACTACTTCAGGGTTAGCTCTTATGGCACGGAACGGGACGGTGGTTGTAGTCCGTGTGGCTTTACCACCGTCCTCTGATTTCCGAGTAGCGAAGATGGATTCATCTGGTAAATTCATCGTTAGTAGATTCTCCGGTAAGAATCTTGTGCCGGAATTCTCTGGTCCTATGGATTCTTGTCAGATTCCGTTTGTCTGCGGTAAGCTCGGGCTTTGTAATCTTGATAATGCTTCGGAAAATCAGAGTTGTTCATGTCCAGATGAGATGCGAATGGGTAAGGGGGTATGTGTTCCGGTTAGCCAATCATTGAGTTTACCGGTTTCTTGTGAAGCAAGAAACATTACGTATCTCGAACTCGGCCTTGGTGTGTCTTATTTCTCTACTCATTTCACTGATCCTGTGGAACACGGTCTCCCGTTATCGGCTTGTCATGATCTCTGCAGTAAGAATTGCTCCTGCCTTGGTGTTTTCTTTGAGAACACGTCTCGGTCTTGTTATCTGGTTAAGGACTCCTTTGGTTCTTTGTCTCTAGTAAAGAACTCACCAGACAACCATGATCTTATTGGATACGTCAAGTTGTCTATCAGAAAACCAACCATTCAACCTCCGGGAAACAATAACAGAGGATCTGGTTTTCCTTTGGTCGCACTTGTGCTCTTACCTTGCTCTGGTTTCTTCCTTCTTATTGCCTTAGGGCTTCTCTGGTGGAGAAGATGTGCAGTGATGAGATACAGCAGCATCCGTGAGAAGCAAGTAACTAGACCTGGGTCGTTTGAATCAGGAGATCTAGGATCTTTCCATATCCCAGGGTTACCTCAGAAATTCGAGTATGAAGAGCTAGAACAAGCGACCGAGAATTTCAAGCTGCAGATAGGGTCAGGCGGATTTGGCTCAGTCTACAAAGGAACTCTCCCGGATGAAACACTCATTGCCGTCAAGAAAATTACAAACCATGGGCTTCACGGTAGACAAGAGTTTTGCACGGAAATCGCGATAATTGGAAATATCCGACACACGAATCTAGTGAAACTCCGAGGCTTTTGCGCTCGTGGGAGGCAGTTGCTCTTAGTCTACGAGTACATGAACCATGGATCGTTAGAAAAGACTCTGTTTAGTGGGAATGGTCCGGTGCTTGAGTGGCAAGAAAGGTTTGATATAGCGCTTGGGACTGCTCGCGGACTCGCGTATCTCCACAGTGGATGTGACCAGAAGATTATCCACTGCGACGTGAAGCCAGAGAACATCTTACTGCACGATCATTTCCAACCGAAGATATCTGACTTCGGGTTATCAAAGCTTCTGAATCAAGAAGAGTCAAGTCTGTTCACGACGATGAGAGGTACTCGAGGTTATTTAGCTCCAGAGTGGATAACGAATGCAGCTATCTCTGAGAAAGCTGATGTGTACAGCTATGGAATGGTTTTGTTAGAGCTAGTGAGTGGTCGGAAAAATTGCTCGTTCCGATCTCGGAGCAACAGTGTGACGGAGGAGAATAATCAGAACCACTCGTCGACTACGACCACTAGTACTGGTTTGGTATATTTCCCATTGTACGCTTTGGATATGCACGAACAAGGGAGGTATATGGAGCTGGCTGATCCGAGGCTAGAGGGTCGGGTAACGAGCCAAGAAGCTGAGAAGTTGGTTCGGATAGCTTTGTGTTGCGTTCACGAGGAGCCGGCGTTAAGGCCGACGATGGCAGCAGTAGTGGGGATGTTCGAAGGAAGCATACCGTTGGGGAATCCAAGGATGGAGTCTTTGAATTTCTTGAGGTTTTATGGGCTGAGGTTTGCAGAGTCTTCCATGGTTGAAGGGCAAAATGGGGAGAGTGAAACTATGGTCTTCCACCGGCGAGAGAGCTCTAATAGCGGCGGCTCTAGGCAGTCCGCATCTTACATAGCGTCTCAAGAAGTTTCCGGACCACGATGAGATTGCCTAAACGTGAATTTTTTTTGTCTTTTGTAATATATGTTTTTGGTTACTTTGTTAATAGTGATAGGTCTTGTTCATATAATCTACTATATATGAAAATTATTGGATAATGTTGACATAGAGACTACAAACAAAAGTGTTTCTTCTTCATCTGTATGACACAAGAAGAACATCACATAAAATGATAAAACCACAGACTCTAGGAAAGCACTCTTATCGTAACCAAAGTTTGTACCAATGACAACACAAAAGGAGACGAAGATTGCAATAATTGGGTGGTCTTTCAGAGCTGATATATCGTTCTAAACCGCTGCGTTTGTCAAATCTTTCACTGCCACAATTTCGTGAGGCTGCATATACAATACAACCATGTTAGAACCCACCATTTGGTTAACCAACCTAACTATTACAAACACAATTAAATCTGTCTTCCTCTATACAGTTTCATTCTTTTCATGCAATTCTCCAATCTCTATGTTCAGCTTTGTGAAGATTTCATATTTACCTCAGCTAGCTCCTCTTCATGCTTGACAATGAAAGCTGTATCAACTTTTCCATTTTTGAAATCCTGTTACCAACACAACAATTGAATTACAAAAAAAGCCAACATTTTCATGATAAAATTCCCTAAATATAGAGCTACTAATTTCACATACCTCAACATCAAGGATAAGTTTGTGGTAATTGATAGTCGTTGGAACCCCTGATGAAACCAAGAAAACGAAAATTGATTTAACATTCCACCAGATGTCCAATGTAATGAAATGTCACTTTTTACGCAGAATAAAAGAACAACGAAACAAACAATGACGAAGCACAAACAATATGGAATTGATGAAAAGTAGCCCTCAGCATACCTGTAATTATAGTGTCATTAAGCGCACGCTTCATCCGTTCAATGGCTTTTTCCCTCGTTGGAGCCCACACAATAAGCTATAAAAGATTTAAAGTGTCAACACATCAGCTATAAGTTCAAGTAAGCTGCTGCGATAGAAGGCAAATGGACAACACCAGAAAGCCTCTTCCAATATTTGTATAAGATTACGAAACAACACAGTGATTATTTCACCATGAAGCCACAAAATTTGTTCACAAATAACCAAACAGATACAAAATGGCTATCCAGAGAAAATGAAAGAAAAATATACCTTCCCAAGAAGAGAATCATAGCTTGGAGGCACAACATAGTCGGAATAAACATGGCTGTCCATTCTAACGAAAGGACCTCCAGATGGCAGGTATGATGTTATTCTACCTGTTATTGTAAGAGTGACGGTTTTGTAAAGAAAGCCAATCTGCTAACAATTTGAAGATGTAACATATAAAGCTCTACTGAAATTTACCAGGTCCAGGTCTGAATCCTTTAAATGGATCTTCTGCATTGATACGACATTCAATTGAGTGCCCTCTGAGCACGATCTCTTCCTGTTAACAAACAAAATTCAGTTTTGAAATAACATTTTTGATATCCACTCAGAACATCACATACAACAACCAATCAGACCTGTTTGTAACGAAGTTTCTCTCCCATTGCAACACGAATCTGCTCCTCTATCAAATCAACAGAGTAAATCATCTCTGTCACAGGATGCTCCACCTGAGTTTAGATTAAATGGTTTGTAAGTAAATTTTGGAAAACAACTTATTAAAAAATATACTTAGCAGTCATAATAAAATTTCAACCTGGATCCTAGTGTTCATTTCCATGAAGTAGAAGGAACCTCTCTCATCCAAAAGAAATTCTACAGTACCAACACCGATGTACCCAATGGATGCTGCTGCTGCGACTGCTGCATCACCCATGGCTTTTCGCAATTCAGCGGTCAATGCTGGAGAAGGTGCTTCTTCCAGAAGCTTTTGGTTACGCCTCTGTTGTCAGGGGAAGATATAATTAAATGAGCCAGATGGTTTCAGCACGCCATACAAGCAATGAAAGAAAGCAGCATGAGGTATTCTCAAATACTGAGAACCAGTATTGAATTTCGAGTTATCTTAGCAATTAGTACACGAAAAAAATAAACAGTTTAGCTGATCCTGCAGCTGGGAAATGACATGCAAGTGCAGTAATTAGGCTGAAGTAAATATATTCCTGTTTTCAATATATTCAGATACATTTATTCTTCGAGCACTATGCAACAATTGATGGTAATGAAATTATGAAAACCTAGGAGGAATATACCTGGATGCTGCAGTCACGCTCACCAAAATGAACAACATTTCCAAATTTATCTGCCAGCACCTGAAATACAAGAGGTGCAGAAGACAAGATGGCTTTGAAATTAATAATGGGTATCGCTAGACCATCAACTTACAAGAATCATCTTTTGCTAAAACCTCAACTTTTTTGAACAACTTCTCCTGATAAACTCCATACCTGGAACTCAATATGTCTAGGGTTTTGTACGAACTTCTCCAAATAACATCCATCATTTCCAAAAGCAGCAGCAGCCTCACTCTTAGCTTGCTGTAGATCAACAAATTAAGCCAAGTTCAATAAAGGGAAGTCAAATCATTAGTGAAATTTTCATTTAAGAAAACTATGACTATAAAGGCAAGTGGAAAGCATACGATCTGGTTGTTTAATAGATATCAATGGTCAGTATTACTAGATTTAAGTTACTACACATCCAACTTCTACAACGATAATGTTCTCTAAGTTTCGAAATGCGGCACACATCATGAGATTATGTGACGTCTGTATAGTCTGAGTTAGAAAGAAATAAAGAATCTATGATAATACTGCGATTCTTTAAACATCTGGATTTTGGAGGATATGCTTACGTAGAACTTGATCCTTGGACTCATTTATAATTGAAAAAGGCACTTCTGGTTCAGATTTACATGATTGTCATACCTGTAACAGTTTTACAAACTCTCCTGGTTCCTTAGCAAGACGCATTCCACGTCCACCACCACCAGCTGTTGCCTTGTAACCAGAAAAGCGAGAACAGTCAGTTTTTGTAACTATAAGCATATCATTAAGTACAAATTGATATAAAAAACATAATTAAATTGGTGTCTTTTCAAGCAGACCAATTTGAGAATCCAGTTTATCACTTACATAAAAAAGTATAAATACAAATTGTAATTCCAAATCCAGTGATAGCATGTGGTACATATAGAATAAAGTTAATATTACCTTGATCATTACAGGGAAACCAATCTCATTGGCGACCCTGACTGCTTCTTCTGTGCTCTGTAATAAGAAAAATACGAGACATTGAAATCCCAAGAATTCTCTTGACATGCAAACACTTGAAATGCTAAATTGATAATCCAGTAAAATACCTGCAATAGCCCATCACTCCCTGGTACTGTGGGAACCCCAGCATTTTTCATTGTCTCTCTTGCAGTTGCTTTGTCTCCCATAACACGGATGCTATCAGGCTGCAGATAGAAAAGACGAAATACCGATAATCAGATTACCGACATTTTCTTTTTCTCCAACAAAAGAAAGCTAGGGCTGAACTGAGACTAATGAAGAATAAATACATGAAGTTCTGCACTCATATAAATAGTATCTGCCTCTTAAAAAATGAAAACTTACATTAGGTCCAATAAAATTGATCCCATGGTCTCTGCACATTTCAACAAAGAGAGCATTCTCCGAAAGGAAACCGTATCCAGGATGAAGCATTGTACATCCGCGACTGATAGCAGCAGACAGAACATTTGGAATTACCAAGTACCTACACAAGGATAAGAATTAACACTTGTTTATTCTCTACACAAGATCAAGCATTTTGTTCCACCTAATGTAACAAACTTTTATCACAAGAGAAACTTACGACTGGTTGCTAGGAGCTTCACCAATGCAAACAGCTTCATCAGCTAATTTGACATGGAGGGCATCCTTATCAATAGTTGAATAGACAGCAACACAAGGAATCCCCATTTCATGAGCAGTTCGGATAACACGAACTGCGATTTCACCTCTATTAGCAACAAGAATCTTATCACCACTGCATGTAGCACCAAGAGCACCACCACCACTAGTAGCCCTCTTGACCTTCTTCTGGCTAACCTTAAGAGTTTGAGTTCTTACTCTGGGGAAGTTAACTTTGCTTGGCATCATCAAGTTACATAGTGAGCTTCTAATAACTCCTCCTGTCTTCCCTAAGACTAAAGACTTCATATAACAAATTTAACAGATTAAGAACCACATGAAACACAGAAACAGAGATTGAAGAATCAAACCAATATAGCAATTGGTGCTTACGGGTGGAGAAGTAATGGATTTGGAATTGGTAATCATAGAAGCGTCCATTTCCAAATGCAGGAGGAAGCAAATCCTGGTTTAACAATGGAAAGGAAGTGAGAGGAAACCTCGTGAGTATCGAAACAGATCTAATCGCAGAAGAAGAGCTTCGTACCTGTTCTTCACAGAGAGAGAGAGAGAGAGAGAGAGAGAGAGAGATTGAAATGTTGAGAGTGGAACTGTGAGATATTGAATCCTCCGCCCGAATGGTTTAATTTGGTGGATTCTGTGCCAACTCTAAACGCGGAACGCAAACGTAGAACGCAAACTCTTTTAAATTATCTTTTATAAAATAATTTTGTTTCAATGAGTATGATTAAAGGAATTTTTAAAAGCTATTATGATTTGATATCTTACATTTGGTCATATTTTTATAATTTTATTTTACCATATTATTTATGTATATATATATTGATATACATATAATATATATTATTTTACAAAATATATACAATATATCGTATAGTAAACACATGTTATATATTATTTTTATAAAATAAATTGTTGATATAAATTCACACATAATAGTTCAAATTCATATTATTTTGTAAGTGACAAACTAAATTTGTTTTCTTATAAAATTATATGAACTGCAATATAAAGATTTTTATACAAACCCCAAGTACAACTTCTATTTTTTTTTTAATTTCCCTCATCATCTTTATAGGATTTAACAAAATGATTTTTGTTTATTTATAGTTTTCTTTTTCTTTTTCTTTTATTTATAATAAAACTAGGTTTCATTCTAATGCTTTTATTTGAACTAGAGGCTATCCCACGCGTAGCGTGGGAC